ATCTGCCTATTCTGGGATGGTAGCAAAATAGGAACACTAATCAGATTTTCAGCAGACTTTTCTGTAGACACCTTACAAACACACTGGGATTTAAAGGGGCTAGTTAAAATTCTTAATGAGAAAGATTTATAGTCCATAATCCTTTACCCTTCAAGATTAACATACAGTAAAGAAGGAAGAGTAAGGAACTTCATTGAGAATAAAAAAACTAAAAGAATTTATGCACACCAGCTACACATCAAAAAAATCTAAAATGTTTATTGTAAAGCAAGAGAATAATGCATATAGAGGCAACAGAATCTTAAAAGCACTTGACATGGAAGAGTAGGAGAAAGAGGAGAAGGAAAGAATGTTGCACATCAGGAGACTAGAGTGTCCACAGGTCACACATCATAGACCAACCTCAGTAAAACCCTCAAACAAAAATTAATAGAAATAACACATAAGACAATGGAAATAGACCTAAACAAAATATTACAAGGAGATCTAACAAAAATCAAGACAAAAACAAAAATAACAAAATGGCAATGAAACTTATTTCTCAATAATCACCTTAAACATAAATGTCCTGACTCACCCTACAAAAAATGTAGAGTGACTGAATGAATTCAAAAGAAAACGCAAGTCCTGCTGTTTTCAAGAAACTGATATTACCAATAAAGACAAGGACAGACTTAGAGTAAATACCTGAAAGACAATTATATAAAAAATAGCAAGTAAAAACAAACATCAAGAACAGGTATACTTATATCTGACAAAAATAACTTCCAATTCAAAAAGTAATAAAACCTAGACTTGAGCACTTAATTATAAATAAAGTTTTAGTGAAAAAGAAGAAATAATACTCATAAATATATATGTGCTGAATGATGGAGCATTGAGAAATATGGCAATAACATCACTAAAGATATACACACACATACATCTATAATAACACAACAATGTTAGGGGACTTATTCCCTTACTTACGGCAATGAAAAGATCAAGAAAATAAAGCATAGATAAGGAAGCAATAGATTTAAATAGGAGCTAGACCAGATAGGTTTAACAAACATCTACAGAACAGTCCACCTCAAAACTGCTGCATATACTTTTTATTTCCAAATACACATGGAAAATTTTAGACTAGATCATATCTTGGCACATAAGTTAATTTTCAGTAAAGTGAGAAAGACTGAACTTATATCAATACTTTCTCTGACCATATACTATAAAGTTAGAAATCACTGTAAGAAAAAAAAATTGGGAAAATGCATGGAGAATAAATAACATGCTGCTTAGTAGTAGTTGGATAAATGAAAATCAATGCAGAAATTTAAAAATAACTTTAGATGAATGAAAATCATGATACAAGATACTCCAGATCTATAGGATGCAGCAAAAATAGTCTTAAAGGAAGAAATAATTTCAATACAGGCCCACATTAAGAAACCAGAATAAACAATCTAATATCATGCCTAAAGTAACTGAAAAGTGAAATAAAACCCTGAGTTAATAGAAGGAAGGAATGAATAAAAAGATGAACGAGCAATAAAAATGAACTAGAGATTAAAAGACTATTAAAAAAAATCAATGAAACTAAGAGCTTATTCCTCAAGTAGATAAACCAAATAGATAAACATCTATAAGGCTAACAACAACAAAAAAAAGGACAAGTAAAACATTACTGAAGAGAATCATAAAGAAAAGAGGAGAAATCACAGACAGCACAGAAGTACAAAGATTATTATATACTACTATGTCAATAAATTCAATAACATTGAAGAAATGGATACATGTTTAGATCAACATAATTTACAAAAACTAATCCAAGAAGCAGGTGAATTGAGCAAAATGATCAATCACCAGCATGGAAGTTGAAACAGTAATAAAAATTCCTCTGACAAACAAGAGTACACTTTACAACTTTACAAGTGAACTTTATCAAACTTTTATAGAAATAATGCCCACTTTGCTCAGATTCTTTTAAAAAATACAAGAAAAGGGAATGCTGCCTAATAAATTTTACAGTGCCAAGATTACATTAATATCAAAACTGATTAAAGACAACAAAAGAAAATAAAATTATAGACCTATATCCCTGATCAACATTGATGCAAAAATCTTCAACAAAATACTAGCAATCAAATTCAAGTTTATCACAAGGATTGGTTTAATGTATATCAATCAATTTATTACATCTTATCAACAAAAGTAACAATGAGAATCATGTAATATCAATGTGGAGAATGCATTTGATAAGATTCAGTGCCCATTAAAATTCTAAATAAGAAGGGAACAGAACTGACCTACCTTAATATAATAAAGACCATATGTCACAAACCAAACGCTTAATGGTAAAAAGCTGAAAGCTTTCCCTTCTAAGACTGGGAACAAGACAAGGGATGCCCCTTTGTCACTACCACTGTTTAACTTGGCATTATAGGTTTTGATTAGAACTATCACAAAAAAGGAAATAAAGGAAATTTAAGTCCAAAGAGAAGTGAAACTATCATTATTTGCAGATGCTATGATATTATGTCTGTAATCCCAAAGACTCCATCAACAAGTTATTAGAAATAATAGAGAAATATAGCAATATGGCAAGTTATAAAACCAATATATAAAACTCATCCTTTTTATATGCAAACAATGAACAAGAAGTGAAAGAATTTAAGAGATTAACTCCATTTATAATTGCTTCAAAGGAATTAAATACTATGGATTTAACCTAATTATGGAGGTAAGAGACATATGCAATGAGAACTGCAAAATGTTATTAAAGGACTTGGTGACGTAAGGAGATGGAAGGATATCCTATGCTAATGGATGGAGAGAATCAATATCAAAATAACTATCCTATCTAAAACTGTAAATAAATTTAATGTAATCCCCATCAAAACACCAGCAAAATTTTTCAAATAAATTGAACAAAAATATTGAAATTTATATGGAACCATAAAAGGCCTAGTATTCCAAAAGCAACCCTGAAGATAAAGGAGAGAAATGGAGGTGTCGCATTACCTGAGTTCTAACTTTATGTAAGGCAGCAGTACTAAAAGCAATATAGAGATGGAGAAATGGAATAGAACTGAAAGCCCAGAAATAAATCCATATACCAGGTATCCCTAATATATGATAAAGCAGCTATGACTATACAATAGGGAAAAGGGAGTCTTTTAATAAATTGTGGTGGTAAAATAGAAAAATACACACAAAAGAATAAATTTGAATCACTTGCTAATTCCAAAAATAAACTCAAAATGGATTAAAGATTTATGTGTAAGGTCTGCAACAATAAAATATATAGAAGCTCCATCCATGTTGCTGCAAATTGTATGAGTTTATCTTTTTTGATTGCAGAGTAATATTCCACTGTGTATATGTACCACATCTCCTTGATCCAGTTATCTGTTTTGGGACATTTGGGTTGTTTCCATAGCTCAGTGATATAAGCCAGAAAGAAAAAGAAAAATACCAGATGGTCTCACTCATAGCAGGAATTTAGAAAAAACCTAAATAAGGGACCAGGAAAAAGACTAATTATAATAAAGTAAAAATCAAAATCAACAAGCAACTATAAACCAGAGACACACTATGGGGCAGGGTGGGGAGGGGCAAGGGAGTAGGATCAAAAAAAGGGTGGTGGGAATTGTATGGGTATTATAACCAAGGTGAAAAAACATACATTGTGCAAAAATGAAAAATGATGTAAAATATATAAAATTAAAAATTAAAGAAAAACAAAACAAAAAGATGATCCAACTGAAGATTATAAAGATTACTTGAAAAAATATATATATAGAAGAAAAAATTGAGGATACATTCCATGACATCAACATTTTTTTGTTACTAGACTCTTGTGGCAAAGGAAATAAAAACAAAAACAATTGGCATTATCTTAAACTAAAAATATTATTCAGCAGAAGAAAATACAAAATGATTAAAATGACCCTTATTGAATGGAAGCAAATATTCACACCATATAACTAGTTAGGGATTAAGATGTATAAAATACGTATTTCAACAATAAAAACCAAACATATCCATTAATAAATGGACAGCATATAATGAACAGACAATTCATCAATGAAGATATCCAGAAGACCAATAGATTTATGAGAAAGTGTTCATTGTATCCACAAAGAAAATTTTAGGTTAAAAACATAATGACATTCCATATCACACCTGTGAGAATATCACATATTAAAAAGACCTCCAACAATAAATTTTGGAGAGGATGCAGAAAAAAATAGAAGTTTTTGGGTATGTAAACTGGTGCAACCATTATAGAAAGAAATCTGGATTTACCTTAAAGCACTGCAAATCAAAATAATATATGACCCAGCAATCCCACATTTAGGTATGCATTCAAAGACCGTGAAACCATGAATGCGAAAATCCATGTGTTCTACAATTTAAGGAGAGTGGAGAGAAAGTGACAAGGGATGTAAGTGATGGTAGTGGGGAAAAAACTAGCTGTAAATAGAAGATATCGCTTCACTGACAACACAATAACAGCAACAGAATGTGGATAAATAAGATAAATAAATAAAATAACCTGAATGAAAGTACATTTACTATTTTGTGACCAAAGTGGTCTGATCTAATAAATTCTCTATGTATGTACTTTTATTTTGCCCTTTTCTTGACCAATGTTTTAAGGATTTGCATTAAAAGAGGAACATTTGTTAAACACCCAGCTATAAATTATCAAATGTGTGATTATTATCCTACATAGATCAAATTAACTTCCTAACAGAAATTTTACTTTTTCATATATTTGATGTTAAAAGAGTAAGGGTAAGAGCATAACATTGAGGCTGATACTGAATTTTGGGGGAAATAGGTATATTTTCAAGGTATATGCTATAAAACCCAAATTTCTTTTCAAATAAGTTTTCAATACTTTAAGCAATGACTAAATTATTTGTTTTCATTAAGGATTAAAAATAAAATTTTGTAAGTATGTCATAGAAGTGCAAATTAATATTTCCCCTTTTTCTTTATTTCTTGAGCAGGTTGTCAAGTTATTAAGCAACAAAAGATCACAAGCAGTTGGAATATTGATGTCCAGTCTTCATTTAGATATGAAAGACATACAACATGGTAAGTATAACAATAATTTTGTATTAAAATTTTATTTATTATAAAATAATTTTGTATTAAAATTTATTTTATTATAAAATAAATATTTTGTATGAAAATAATTTTGAATGCTCAAATTTAGGTTGGTCGGTATAATTGGTTGGTGGTAAAATTATTTCAAATTAGATTTCTGTATTTTTTGAGTTAGTATATTTCCTTCAGATCATACCAAACTTTCTCCCATGATTGTTTCTGGAAGAGTTGCTATAAATTTGGCTTTTCTGTAATTTTTATATCTTGCTAGGAACTTGGTTCTCTTGTGACGTATTTAGCTTACATTAATTAGAACTTAATCTTTAATTCATGAGAAGTAATCCCATTATGTTGTATAATTAATTAAACTCTATATGAGGTATTTACTTCTGGATATCAGGCTAAAAGAAAAACTAATAGACACCAAGAGTCTCATAGTGGGCTATGACTCAGCCATCAAATAAATAGCTTACAGGAGAGAAAAATATGTTAAGACTTGAATTCACAAGTGTTTCATGAACAAATATAAAGAAGAGAAAGTAAACCTGAAATTTTCTAATTGGTTTCAATCCATATAGGGGTCTTAAGGAAGCTTGTTTCAAGCTTTAGGAATTTTCTTAAGATTCGAGATATCATGTTGTAAAATGGATTGCCATGTGTAGGGATTAAATGAGAACTCTGTTCAAGAGCCTGAATGATGATTTGCTGGTCTTGTCTTTATGACATTGGACAGCTGATGGGACATACTCTGTTCTTTTATTCTGAGATACTGTGAGGTACTGGAAGAAACACTAAAGCAAATTTATTATGTATAATTATTTCAGGTGGAGAACTGGTTTCTCTTCTATCAATTATTTGAGAAAACCATACAGTGGAGGGAATTGAGGGCTGGATGAAACTCAATAGGGCCAAAATGGTTATCCAGCTACTTTGACCCCAGTTCAGTGTTCTCTGCAAAGTTTTAGCTGTTTCAGAATGAGAACCTATGTTAGCTAATAAAAAGAGAAATGTAACATATGTAAAAACAGAACTGGCAAAAGGACAAAATACTTTTCACCATTGCTTTTTGGAGTTTTTAAAGCATGTCTTTAGAGTTAGTGTTTTTTTCAGTTGTTAAAACATTAGAAAATATAAATTTAACACATATAAATATTTAAGCATCATTTTATAAAAATTCCCCACTTTGCTTAGAGAAGTGAAGTTGTGGGTTGTTTTCCATCTGTGAATTAAGTAGGAAAAATTTTTTTTTAAGATTTATTTATTTATTTATACAAGCACTGGGTACAGTCAGAAGTGTGGGAGGGTGAGAGAACTCACCAGAACCAGAGAGGGGAACAGAATAGGCAGACTGATGAAACACACTGCTGAGGGGAGCAGCGGGTGCGGCAGGAGAGCCTGTACTTCTAATACACAAATGACGATACCTTAATTAAAAAATTTCCTATCTGTTGGAAATAGAAAGCATGAGTTTTAACTTTCTAAGTGATTTTGTGAAACCAAGACTTTTGAATTATTATTTTGGTCAATTGAAATTTCTTAATGAATATGTTAATGTATATCAGGGACTGGAATTGGATGAGCCATAATAAAACTTAAAAATAAAAGAATGTTATTTTGGAATAAAAAAAAAGAATGTTATCAATATGGTTTCACTTTAATTTATCAAAGACATTAGATAGTGCAGAATTACTTCAAATTATTTAAGTATTTTTATTTTTTGCATATATGTCAAGAATGCATAGCATCAGGTTATTTTGTCCTTTCCTACAGTGTGAGTCTGACTGTGTTTGTGAAGATATATGACAAGCTCACAGTCTCAGATGCTCAAGCATATTTTATGGTAGGATGTGTAAAGAATGCAAACACAGTGTTGTCTTTCATCTTATCAAGTCTAAAATGTTCAGATGAATGTGGTTACTTACATTTGTTCCTCTTTCTGAGAAATGTTAGTTTTAATAAATTGTTAGTTTTTTTTATTTTTGTCAAGCAAAGCCAAATAAAATGTAAAAAGTTGCTTGACTGCATCTTTAGGAAATTTTTGTTGAGTAATACATTTTGACAGTTTTTGAATTAACTCTCCAGGTGTGCAGATTTTCAGTTGGGAATTAATGCCTCAGTGTTTTCTTATAAACAGATGGTTTATATGATTCTTGACTCCATTTTCAACAAATTACACAATGACATGCACTCTCCAAAGGTTTCTATGCTTGATTAAGTTTCAAGTAAAAATTTAGGGACACTAAGTCTAGGCATTTTTACCAGACTATTTTTCCCTCTCTTTTTCTTTCTATATCTTCCTGAATCTGTAATTAAGGTAGTATTGGTGACCCCTAATGAGTAAAAATGTTTGCATCAACCACAGATTATAGGTGTGAAGGAGAAAAGGGGGCCTGTTTTTATATAAACATCTTTTTATGTCACAGTTCCTTCTTCAATATCACAGAGATGTTTATGTTCATTATGACGTATACAGCAAAAATTGCTGCCCTAACCAGCATTTGATTTATGCTTTCTCAGGTGGTGTTGCTTTCATAGATACAGGCAAACAAGAACAAAAATCTGTAACTTTTGTTGTAAGGTTAATTATGGCTTCACTCTGAAGGTACTGTAATGACTTTTGTATTTCATGCTATAAACTTTTAAAAAAATTTCGGCCGTTAAAGAGCAGACTGGCAGGAACTGATGCTATCTAAGACAAGATCCATACTATCAGGTTCTTTAAAGTCTTCATAAAGTCAGACCATGATTTTTTTTTTTGTTTTATACAGTTTTATTTTTAAAAATCTTGTTAATGTACAGACATTGGCACATTTGAAAGACAAACTACACCAACAGGTCTTTCCTATAATCTAGGAAAGTGGAATGTCAGAAGTCAACAAAGTGTGATAAACCTAAAGTGCTAAAACAGAAGGCACTTCACAAAATCTGTTCACTGAAACAGTTAACATCCAAGTTTATATCTTTCACTTTATAAGTGACAGTGAGTGTCTGTGCAGACAGGAGGACACACAGAAATATGAACAATTTTGCAGATCACAATCTTAAATGTAGAAGAAGGAATATCTGAAAACTATCAGGTGATTTGAATTTATATTAAAGAAATGAAGAAGTCAGAGAGGTCATTATGAAGCATGGTTTTAGGGAGTATTTCAGGGATTCCTTAGGTTGGAGCTTGAAATTGCTTTTCTGTTAAAATAGCAGTCTGTATTGTCCATACTTTTCAATTTCCATGGTGACCGTGGGAAACTACTCTGACCAATGGGAAAAGAAGTCTGCTGAGGAATCTAGAAAACTTAAATAAGGGACCAGGAAAATGAATAACTATAAGAAAGTGAAAATCAAAATCAACAAAAAACTATGAACCAGAGACACTTTTAGGGGGGCAGGGGCGGGAGGGGAGGGATTGGGGTCAGAATGGGGGCGCTGCAATTGTATGGGGAATATAACAATAAAATTTATTATCTAATAAAAAAAAAAGTTATGTGCACAAAAAAAAAAAAAAGAAGTCTGCTGAAATTTCATAATTAACAGTTGTTGCACATGCTTTCCTTTTGCAGTACTTTTTCCTTCTTCATTTTGCCTGGAATGGCTAATTGTCAAAATTCACTCATATTTTAAACATTGTCATCACAAAGCTCCAACTACCATATGATATCATTCCTATATCATCTAAAATGAGTCACGTTTTAAATTAGGAGAGGCAGGAATAAGTTAGAAAGAAACATGAATGAATATTTCCCCCTTGTCAAGTCCCTCTGCCTTTCATTTTACTTTTTAATAAACTCAAATATTTAGAATTAATTTTTACTTTTCTTTAATTTCATAAGAATATAGATCACATGGTATTTTAAAATCCCTTTACCCTTTACTAATATTCTCAATTTGTATTACCCATGCTTGCACTTCCTATCAACCTACATAAATATTCTTTAACATTGCACTGTTAAGTTTTGTAAAACCTAGAGACAAAACATATTTAACTGGGTAACAAGAGGGAAACATTTATGTTATTATAAACATTTATATTATTATATAAATAATGAATATTTATGTTTATTAATATAAAGAATATATTATTAGTGGATTATAAGAGAAGCTGAAAAATAGGTCTATGTTGTGTTCTATCTTTCGATTCAGAGTTCCTGAAATTTTTGTCATTTGAGGTATTAGGAAAATCATAAGTGAATTATGTGAACATAGGGATCAGCAAGGAAGGGCTTTTGGCCAGGCTAGAGTTGGTAAGGTACAGTATGGAAGATACGTCACCAGATGGAATGTGTACCTTTGTATTTTTTTTTTCTCTGAACTCTCTGGGATCTACTCTTGGGGCTGGTCAAAACTAATTACTCTTTATGACTCTGACTAGTAAGATTTTTAACCTTCACGAATTGTTCCAATTTTCTTAACTTTTTCTCTTTTTCTTTTTGATTATTTATTTTTTTTTTTGATTCACCTCACATTTACTTTCCATATCTTCTATTGATAATCTGCTCATGTTACCATGTTATTTTGTTAGGAGAAATATTTTTTTTTCCAACTAGCAAGGTATTGCAATGAACTGAGAAATAGTTGTAAGTGTCTGGGAACAGGGCATTAACATTAGTAAGGTAAAGTCATGTTCTGGATACATTTAGAATTTTGAACCAACAATATACATGACATATTGAAAGTGAGACATAAAGGAAGGAAAGGAGTTAAAAATAACTCAACTGAGCATCTAGCAGATGGTGTCTCCATAATTTGAGACAGAGGAAATATGAGGAGAATAGGCCTACTTATTAAAATTCCAGGTGAGCATAATGATTGTCCAACAAGTTGTGAGTTCAAGAAAGAGGCTGGAGACTGGGGATGAAAATATGGAAGGATTTAATACTCAAAGTGTGACTAGGTAAAATGACATTGGGAGCAAGTATAGATAGAGGGGAGAGGAGGTATAAGAAATGAGCCCTGTGACCCTCTATAAATAGGAAGTTGAATGAACTACATCA